AAGACGACGATAATGATGCTGGGAATGAGGAAAGATAATGCGGTACCAAACGCTACAACGGTAGTCAGAGAAGCCCTCGTTACATCACAACATGTGCTACCCACCGGCGGGCGAACAAGAAGCCCACGAAAGCAAAGTAAAAGACCCTTCCGCCCTCAAGAAAAGCAGATTTCGACTCGTCTACATTATCGTCCCTACTAATCATAAATTCCGAATCTACTAGCCAGGAGGGCATCTGAAAAATATGAGTTACTCGACAACCCCACGTCTGTAACGACTTTTGGATGCTAGGCTAGGCTCCTTCGCGACTGTCACTCTCGACCAAGACTTTTCTGATATCCTTTAACGACCTACGATTTGTCCTACGGCATGAATCATGAAGGAGTAAGGAGGAGGCTAGGCAGCTTGAGACACGCTCTTAGGTATACACAGGTCTGCTGCGCCCGGCTGGCCGGCCTCTTCGTCACAGGAGAGCCCCGCGCCCAGTGGTTTTTGAGACTTTTCCCTGCAGCTACACACCCGCAAATGGCCATCGTTTCGTTGGCTGGAGAGGGGAGATAATGACGGGATGATGGCTCTTACTAGTGTGTACTCGAATGAAGTCCTGTGGGGGTATTACTGCTGGAAAGAAGTCGTGAAGGAGGCATAGGAGGGAGTACACTACCCGAGGCATAGATACTCCCAGCCTGTAGGTAGAAAGGACCTATATGTCCTTACATAGTTATAGGCTTTTTAGGACAATAAACACTCTCTCACTCACATTTCATCATCAACACCACTATCAATTCATCCTCTAATCCGGCAAACAATGTCTCTCGAAAAGTCTGTTTCAGAAACTAAATTTTGCAGGCATCTAACTCGCGATCAATGTATTGAAATAAGAACATTAAGAAGACTTGGCTTGATATTACAACATATATCCAACAAACTTGGATTCACAAGAAGGCAAGTGCAAATTGCGTGTGCTCGAGAGACTGAGAATCCCATTCCTCGCAAAAGATGCTCACCTAAATTAAGCGTGGAACAAGTTGATGAGCTTGAGGCTTTCGTCCGGGAATCTCCTGAAAATCGACAGATGTGCTATTTGGAACTAGCAATGGGATCCTTCAGCCACTGGGGATGCAATGAGCATTAACTTTCAAATGCCCTCAATAAAATGGGTTACAGCAGATGCATAGCTCGGAAGAAGCCTCCGTTAAGTGTGGTTAACATGCACGAAAGATGAATAGCGGTGATAAAGGAAAATGGAGGTTACACAAAGTGTTAGGATGGAGCAGACTAATACAAAACATGTAGCACGCTTTCATTTTAGTTGCGAGCTATACTAAGGACTTCGATGTAAAATTTTGTAATCCAAAGCGATTATTTTTGAAATACATATGTATTTTTAGATAATATCAATTGATTTTTTTTTAATTTTAAATTTTAAATGAGGACCATTGTACATTTCATTTAGTGTTGAAAACCATACCCATAATTTAGACTTTCACGGAATATCATTGGATAGTACCCCTTGCTTGCATGACTAGCCGATTAACTAGACATGGGCCTGCATGAGGACCATACCAATCAAATAAATATGTACAGGGATCTAACCCCAGCCATTTTGATAATTGTACTTTTGATACCCATAAGAGACTGTGAGATGCCGATTTTCGGAGATGAGCTTCCTCGTTGGGAGTAGCGGATACATGCTGCCTGTTCCGAGAGTGCAGACAACACCGTTTACACTGCCATGGCTGGATGGTGCAGTGGTACATCATCCAGACTGGTCTACAAAGTTCAGTCCGAGTAGCTTGGACACCTAGCCCACTTTCGACGGGAGATCACTGCTTCGAATCTAGCTAGACTCCACATTTCTCCCGGCGTTCGTGTGCATGGATAGCCAGGCTTTGAGACTTCCCTTTGGTGGGTGCGCACGGAGGAGGCTCGACTATTCTGGGCTAGTCGACAACCTCATGGTGGCATTTGAAAATGAAGTCCGGAGTTTGAGTGTCTCCGGAGTCAAAAGAGTCGTCAAGAATGTATACGCTATTTAGAACTTAGAGGCGGCTACGAATGGCGGGACAAAGGATAGGTCCAGATCAAGAGTAAAGGGCTGGGAGGTGCTTTACTCCGCTGTGTATGAGATGAGTACAGAAAAACTCAACTAAAGGGCTGCATCAATAACTGCACACTCTATTCTAGTACAACTCTAGATGTACAGGTTATACATTGGCAGTCCTTGCACTTGTATTATGTCTTTGTTGAATATGTTAGAGAGAAATATTGTGTTCTGGCAGATAGAATGTAGAATCTTGAGTAATCAATCACGCGTCTGACTTAGTTGCAAGCAATGCTGTGGCTATATGGTACACGCATTAGCCAGTATTCACCAAATTACAAAGGCAATCTGTCAAGCAAAGGAGGGGCATTAACAGCACTTCTCAGTTTTACCAAAGACTCAGGGAGACATAAGCCCAATACCTGTCAGTGATGTCCCCTTCGAACGCCCAGTTCTGATGGTGAAGTCTACTGAGCCGAGATGGAGTAACACCTTTTCAACTTTGAGCTAAGTTATCTCCCCCTCCAATAGAGATACGCTTCCGATAACACGTATGACGGTCAAGACGACAACAATACTGATGGCAAAGAGGAAAGATATTGCAGCGCCAAACGATACAAGAGTAGTCGGAGAAGCCCTGGTCATTTCCTTAATTATGCTACGCAGCGGCAGGCAATCTAAAGCCCTCGAAAGCAAATCAGATTTCGACTCGTCGACAACACTGTCTTCTTAAATCTCTACTCTCGACTATCACAACCAGGTGGACATGGAAATCACACGAGCCAGTCGAAAAACCCACGTCCATACCGATTATTGGATGCTAAGCTAGACTCCCTCACGGCAGTCACTCTCGATCGAAACTTTTCTGACATCCTTCTACGACCTTTGATTTGTCCTGCGCCACGAATCAGGGAATGAGTAAGGAGGAGACTAGGCAGCTTGAGAGACGCTCTTGGGTATACACAGGTCTGCTGCGCCCGGCTGGCCGGCCTCTTTGTCACAGGAGAGCCTCGCACCCAGCAGTTTTTGAGACTTTCCCCTGCAGCTATACACCCACAAATGGCCATCGCTTCGTTGGTTTGAGAGGGATAATAATGACGGGATAACGGCTCTTCTTAGTGTATAATCTAACGAAGAAGTATGGGGAGTATTGCTGCTTGAAAGAAGTCGTGAATGAGGCATAGATAGTCCTGGCCCATAGGCAGAGAGGACCTACATGTTGTTCTGCAATCATAGGCTCAACATGGCAATAAATAAAAATTTGCCAACATGAGTAGACTAAGATACGCTTAGGATAGTAGATAAGTGGACTACAGTTTTAAGGGTTTTGACTTTTACGAGACCCATCTCATATGAGTACAATGGGACATGAACTAAATTCTAATTCATCCACGCCATACATTTGCTGTGGGGGATTCTCAAGTCATACAATTGATGAGTTCGTATATTTCAATAGAATATACATTGAATGGTAAATTAGGTTGGATTAGGGCAATAGTTACATATCACTCGGCATTTTATGCTTGTAACTCCATTTTAATCTTTTATCCGACCAGGTTCAGTGTAGATTTCTAGCCATGTGAGTACCAACAGCATGACTCACTAAGTATCTCTGAATAGCCGCATGTCGAATTGTGAGCATGTAGGAAGAGGAATTGTGCGGAAGCTTGAACATTACAATTGTACAAATGGTGAACTGCCTTCGGAGATGCAAATTTCCTCGCTTAGAATGAGCAGGATGTGTTGAATGTCACGGGCGGTTGATTAGCGGCAAGCTTAAATCAGAGCTGTTACCCAGGTGATGGATGCGAGATAGCCAATCCACCCATGAGCATTTCCAAAGGTCCGAGTTTTCATGGGGCCTGAGTGAGTGAGTGAAAGCTGATGGAGCCTGAAAAAGCTCTGATCTACCCTTGGAGGCAAGGGAAAAGAAAGTTACTCGAGAAGCCACCATGTCCATGAATTCATTATGCACCTGGCTGGCGATAGGGCATGACGGAATAACGGCTCGCCTTAATCAATGCTCGAATAAAGAGCTGAGGTCGTTAGGGCTAGATCAGAGAAGTCGAGGGGCCATGGACACTTGTGGCCGGTAAGCGGAGAGGATCAAATGTCCGAGTAAGTCCATGATTTAATATGAAAGTGGCAAATTAGATCAGCCGGTAGATGCACAATCTTAATCTACTCACAAAGTGCGGGAGCTGGCATGGAGGATCAAAGATACGTGTCAGATTGGAGAAGAAATGTCGAGTCGAGCTGTGTGTGACTGATACTTGTTGCCTGACTGCCAGTGGCGATAACCGCTTGCTGGGTGATGGCCTAGCAAAGATGATCAGTAGTCGAGGAGATACTCGAGTGGCAGTCTCTCGTCAGCTTTAGACGGGTGCAAAGGCAACTCTCGCCAAAGACATGGTGGTGTTCACAGCTATCGGGCCTATTGCGATGGTTTGCGTGCATGCGGGGCTGGTGGACACACGCTTGTTCTAGAAACTGGCTTTTGCCGGGTAGAGCTCTGGCCTTGGCGCAAGGAGAATTTCTGGATTCTGGTTTCACTCGATGCGACGGCTTCTTTCTCAGCCTGACAGGACCGGGATCAATAAGGTAGGTGAAGAGGGCGTGTGTTACCTTGAGCGGATCACCGCCAGCTAATCAAGTCGGTTAGAGAGCTTCGACCTTCGTGGCCCCCCAGCTCTGCCATTTCCAGGACAGGTCCAACGGGGCTAGCCCTATATGGAGTCTCCATGTGCGGCGCCCGCCAGTGTTGGGGCCGCCGGGTGGGGATAGAATGCCAGTCACGAGCACGGCCTTGGTCCACACCCGCGGGGCCCGGACAATATAAAGCAATTACCGTCGCCCCCCGTCCCATCTTATGAGGCTCGCCTACCACGACAACATCAGCAACTCCCCAGCCCTCTTACTGATCCACTCGTCTCCGTCAATTTCTTCGCTGCTCGCTATGGTTCAACAAGCATGTGTCCGCTCCGCTCCCCGGATCTCCCGCGGCATTGTGCCCCTCCCACGGTACAGAGATGCCCCTCATTAATCGGTATGGGACTAACGCGCCACAAGGAGTCTGCGCAATCTGCCACCGCGGACACGCCTCTACGTTGGCCTTACCTTTCTCGCCTGGGGCTCAATTGGTCTAGTCCTCTCCAACCTCGCCGAGCGAAAACTCGGCCTCGAGCCAACGCCAAGCGACCAGCAGGATCTCGATGAGCTTCTGCCGCGGATTGAGGTGGTGGAACGGAAGAAGTGAGCGCGCATCCAGTGGTATTGTTGAGAGAGATGGGCAACAGAAAAATTAGAAACTCCAATATACTTCTTCATCAATGGCTATAGCCACTACTGCTGCTGCCATCGCCGCCGCTAATAAATGTGTGGCAAAGAAAAAGCTTCACGTTGATCGTGTTTATGGCCGTGCACCGTGCTCGTCAGTATCTCACATCGGATAGGCTCAGGTGTGAAATCGAATAGAGAGATGCGCGTGATGCGCTCGGCGGCCCTGGGTATCCAGTCCCTGAGATGCTGTCACTATGCCCCGCTCTCAAATCTCGTACCTTTTGCACCTCACCTCGAGCACCACTGCGCAAGATGCAGTGTGACGTGTGAGTTGCTGCAGGATTTGCGCGCGAAGGCGCCCAGGCTTATGACCACAAATCTTTACAAGTTTCAAGGTTGACATCGTGTCGGCTCACCACACAAGACCGATGGCCACTTACCAGTGGGTATGGTCGCCATGGCAAATCGTGCTGGCGCAACACCAAGCGCCCACCATCTTTCTATTAGCTTTACCAGCCCCCCGGCACCGGATACAATCATCAAGCGAATGATCGGGTGCCACTCCTTGCCGACTTCTAGCTTGATATTTATCCAATTTCCCACCACAAAAAGTCCGCAGCAATTTTTCCGAGATACGCGCCTCATTTCTTTACTTCGGACCCACATGTGTGCTCAGTATGTGTCTGATTGGCATTTACAGTCTCCGGCTAAGCTAGAGATTGGCCACGCTGGCGGATGAAGAGCCTCTTGGATTGCGCCTTGAGAAATTTTTGCAGCGAGGGCCTTGCATTTAACTGACACGCCTCCGCCCTTTCTCAACTCGACAGGAAGCTTTCCATAGTCAGAGAGGCCAGGGGACGATATTGTCTTCTGCGAAGAAGATTCAAGCCTCAGGCAGTTGGAAAAATTCATGCTTTGTGCATGCAGCTACTTCGTTGGTTTAACTCTTTGATTGGCCTTGTATTCTCTTGTCAATTCCCCACCTTTTGACTATTGAAAATTCAGACCTTCTCTTCCTAGCGGCCAAGGAAACCCTTGCCGTAAGAAGCATATCCTTTCCCTTCATCATCCATAAACATCCTCTTATAGAAACATAGCTTTAACCTGCGTTATGTTATCGTCTGTTCAAGAACGGAAGAAATCACGCCTTCGAACATGAAAATCCTAATGCTCAAGGTGACTTACTAGTGTGCGTGGCTGAGGATCTTATTTTGTTCAGAACTACGACGCTTGATCAGTCATCTTAAATTCGTTACGAAATATTTGTAGAAACAGATGAGCGTTAAGGCTATGTCACAGGAGGTGCTCAAAGTCACTTTTGCACAACACAATTATCATCTGACCGCAATTACCCACTTATGAGAAGTTTCATATTCTTTAGTTACTCGAGCGTGTCCTCATCATCCTACATACCGACACTCCAATCTACATAGTCGAGTCCTCCTAAATTCAAACCGGTTATTCTCTCTTTCAAGTGGAAAAGATGCTCAAGCTACCCAGTCTCTGCGGGAAACTAGCTCGGATGGTGTAACAATGCACCATTCATTCTCGATTCAGAGCCGCGGGTTGATCCACTGTGTGTTTACTAGTATCTCAGTCTACTCCTTGCGATAGTCAATCGGAAAACCTTGACTCAATAAATGGGAGCAAGAAAAAACTGTACCTAGATTACGAACCATCAATCCGAAACGATTGGAGGAATGGCATGATATGGCCCCAGTGATATTTGTGCGTAACAAAAAATCTACGTAATATAAACGTCGTGTATGACTGAATACACACCGGAAGGGGCCGAGAACTAGGTACCTAAACTATATCATTATCCAAACCTAACCTAGGTGCTGCCGAGGTATCGCAGTTCCAGAAGCATTATATCCAATAGAGGATTTTCGCTGCAAGGCTCATTGGTCTTACAAAAATTTAACACATAGAATTTTACTAAGATCACATGCTGGATACTTCAATAAACTTTTGGGTTGAGCTGTCTATCTAGAAAACTGTTATGTAAAGCTGGACTAGACTCAATTGTGCAGCCCGAGCCAAATTCGCCAGCGTATCCAAGCGTAAGGGCTTATTCAGTAATTTTTCCACTTGGCTGGTGGTCCTCATGTTTATAAATGAGAATCCAAGGACGCGAAGATTTTCAATATCTCATTATACCATACGTTGATCCTCAAGAATAGATTTAAGGCGCACCATGAGATGGTGCGGTCAGTGTAGAGGTTTCTTTTCGTCTCTAAGGGAAGCAACTTAAGCGAACACTCAAGAAGCGCTATAATTCGTAGTGCGACAGGAGTGGTGTGTTGTCGAGACGGGTGTGGTTGTGGGCATTGAATGGGATATTTTACGCAGGATAATTCTTTCCTGTGATATTGATCGACGCGGAAATTTCATTCCGAGATAAGAGGTGGAACCCATCATTTTAGGGCCCACAAAGTTTTAACCGCCGAAATACCGACAGCTAAGACAACGCGGTGGACTAGATATGTGTTGGTATTAGACATGACCTTGTGATTCGCGAAATAGACATGAGTTCCGAGAATAGGACTGCATAGACTCTCCATCTCTGGATATCTCGTTACGATGAGCCGATGATACATGCGTAGCATTGGAGGCAGACGAGGGTGTGGCGGCGGTGCCGTTGGGGGTATATTCATAACTCTGGTTGTATGAGTGTCCATTCTGTCCGTGGGGCATACTGAAGGCAAGTGAAGGGTTCATACCAGAAGGCATGGTGCTCGGCGTAGATCCAGTGTAGGCTGATTCTAGGCCAGTGCGGGTTTGGACTCCAGAGCCGCTGAGCGCGGTCATATTTCTTCCATCATTTTCTGCTGTTGACTGTCGTTTTAATCCGTTACTCTGCATAGAGTCCGTTTGATGATTACCTAGATTTGCTCCGTTTTCAGCTCCGACTGAATCTGAGTTGACACCAAATATAGGAATGCTGGCATTATTATTTCCCATGCCACTTGAATTACCCATGGTGTTCACGTCTATCATGGGAGTATCAGCTACGTTTTTATGAGGGCTCGATTGTGTCTTTTTAAGGTGTGCCTGAGAGTGGGACAAATGGCTTGCGCCGGTCGGATTCCCACGTCGTATAGAACATTTTTGAAAATGACGTTTTAGAATATCGCTTCGAGAAAAAGTATCGCGACACAAAATGCACATATATGGGCGATCACCCGTATCTGTTAAAAGTTAGTCGGGAATTGTCTCAAGTTAGAAAGGTGTCGAAGACTTACGGCGCAATAAATGTCGCTTTAGATGTTTAGCGTGGAGATACGACTTTGTACAATGCGGACAGGGAAACTTCCCTTCGGCATCTTTAGCAGGTATCATAGTACTTCGCCCTGTACTGCTGGTTACCGGTGGCCTTCCAGGTGCACTAGGCAAAATTCCTCGTCGTCCTTGTGACCCAACAACATGGGTTGGCGGCTCCATATCAGCCATTTGAGTCATCATATTATTTTGTCCGAAAGGGGACTGTAGCGTATTCTGTACGTGAACACCATGCGATATAGGCCTTAATGACTGTGATACTCGATTTTGGGGAGCTGGCGCGATTGCTTGTGTGTAAGAAAGCGACGTCGTACTAGGTGAATGCGGCACCATGGTGGTCATAGGTCGGTAGTTCTGTTCATTATTACCGGTCATCAAGTGCTGCTGCTGTTGCTGCTGCTGTTGTTGCTGCTGTTGTTGTTGTTGTTGCTGCTGTTGTTGTTGCTGTTGCTGCTGCTGATAGTTTCGGCTGGATTGAGGATTATTGTGAATGAGCTGGAAACGCGATTGTTGGTTGACCTGGGAAAAATTAAGTGAGTTTGCGGATACGTTATTAGGTGTCGCCAGGGTTCTAGGGGTTTGAGGTGCACTACCACCATACATTGGTTGCATGGGCGGATGAGGTGATGTATGGAGTGGCGGAAGGGTATGGTTTGGTAGGTTAGTGCTCTGTTGAAGCTGATGCGGAGATATTCCCGGTAAGGAAGAGTAGCCCGAGTTATTGTTACTCATGTTGTTGGGATGGAACGGTAATTCCATCTGAAAGGAAGCTAGCGCTGAACTCATACGCCCAACTCTGCTTTTCGCGTCCTCCAGCCTGTTGTCACAGGCGGTATCGTCAAAGCGAAATCAGAGACTAAAACAACCCGCAATTTTTCAGGGCCAGGAATGGGTGTGATTGTTGTTTAGTGGGTCTCTTATTTTAGTTTTTGGCTATTGAAATAGAGAGCTAGAGAACGGATATGATTTGGTAAAAAGAGAGAAAGCGAAAATTTGATCGTTTGAGTTTCCGACCGGGGAAGGCGGATATGAAAGGCGAAACAAGGACCAGACCAGACCACGACAAGCGTGGCGCCGGGAGGAATGGAAGGACGGGATTGTCGGACGAAGAAGGGTGTCAAGTTGAGCTCAGACCGTTATCAAGCGAAGGGTTGCGACTCGGGAGTTTTGCAGTAGACGAAGTGGCTAGTTAGTGCCGGTTGTGGCAGATCTTCGGTTATGGGCAGCAGTCGGGTTAGTCGGCCCTCACGGAAAATAAAGGCTCAAGAGGTCAAAAGGTTGGTAATGATATTGGTGGGGAGGGGACGAATGGATCCAAAAATTTTCGGTTGGTAGTGGCGCCTTCTTCCAATGAAGAAGCCCTAAATCATCTAGCGAGGTCCAAAAGAAACTAAACCGTTAGCACAGAGTTTAGCAACAATGGCACACGCTCAGCACCAGCAAGACTAGCAAGGGAGTGAGTAGTAATATGGGAATCAGCCAGAGTAGACTCGTATGATCAGTGATAAAATCTGCAAAAGGTGCACCTCCGGACTCCATTTGAGACTGTTAAAAAAAAGGAAAAAAGAACCTACTGATATTTAGTAGTCGGTGATGCTACTGTAGCTAGTAGCCACTGATATTGCTTTAGTTATGAGAAGTTTATTGTTAAAGCAGACTGAACAAAGATGGGTCGAGTGGATACAATATGTCTAGTTGAATGTGAGAATAATTGGTAATGGTAAGAGACGTGGATGGGTGGGTGGAGCGACGGGTGGAGCGGCGGGAGGCTTGAAGACTGGAGACGAGACGGGAAGGCGGAAGATTGATGGACCGGGGGAGAAATGGTAATTATGACGGCAGCGGTTGGGACTGGCGGGCGGTAGATAGGCAGCAGTAGTTACTACTAGGCAAGAGAGGGGGCTGGTGCGCAAAGATTGAGCCTGGGAGCGCTATGGTGACGAGCGTGTGGTTGGTGAGAATGATGGGTATGGTGGGGAGCGGGGGCACCAAAGGTTGGAGTAATCGGCAGGTAGGTGGATGCCAGTTGATATGTATGTTGATAAGATAGATGGTATTGATGGTGGAGTGAAGGAGGAGATGGTGGAGAGAGGGTGTTGAGGGAGAAGAGGGAGAGAAGGGAATGAGTTAAATAGAAAAGAGGAGCCAGAGAGGGTGCGAGCGATGAGATGGTGGGCGAGGCAGAGAGACGAGATGCGGTGAGAGGAGAGGGAGATAGCGGATGTGTAAGAGTCTGTGACAGCGAGGGAGAAGGATGTTAGAGGGCGCCAGAGGTTAGAGGGGAGTGACAATATGAATGAGGGAAATGAGCCCGCGTATGATAGCGGAAAAAGATAGTCTAGATAAATATGGTCGAACAAGCAGTTTTTTGGAATAATTTTGCTTGGGAGGAAGGAGGGGGGATGGACAGCGGATGTTCAGGGATCCGGCTGCTGGACTACACCCTGGTCCATCTTTCGAACAACTGGGACCCGGCTAATGTATCTCTTAGTAAGTTCTTTCCGGGCAGGGGCTAGATGAGGAGCACAAATAGACGGCAAGGAAGACTCTAGACGACGAGCAGGTACGGAATGGTGGACAGAGCGGGCGCGGCTGAGCAGCGTGGACTATAGGCAATGTGAGGGTGCGTGTGTCTGTGGGAGTATAAGGGGAAAGATTCGCGTTCCAAAGGCGAAGATCAAGCAATAATCAGTCACAGCAAATACAGCCAAGAGCAAAGAACGAATCGCGAATAGGTAAGCCACCAGAGGCGCGAGAGTCGGCCAAAAGCGCCGACTCAATGACCAAACCTCTGGGATCTGACCGGCATCCGTCCAGGCGTGTTGGTCGGATTAGACTGTGGCGTCCCCCCATCCTCTGATGAATAGTATGTGGCCGTTGGCTGTGGCGGACTAGCTTCAGATTACACTACTCAGGATCCCCCGTCGAGGCCGACTCATGGCCCGTGAGATTGAGTTCTTGCCCAATCCTGATCCTGATCCTACTCCGGCTTGATATGACGAAATGATAAGAAGCATGATTGGTATTGATGGACCAGAGCTCTAGAATAAGGGTACATAGTTTGTGAGCGATACGATAGTCATCTGCGCGAGGATGAGATATACCTCTTCTCTCCTCGTGGCGGTATCGGCTAATTGCGCGAATCTTGTCATGCGTGGGAATTACTTACATTGGCTTTCTGGCAGCCGTTGGGGTGCCTGGTATCGTCATCTCATCAGCCTCATCCACTTCATGATTTGACTATACCTTATCCGCAAGTTGCTTGCCGTGCCCCGGTCTTGTCACTTGCCACTTTCTCATGTCTTGTAAGGGTGTGCTCGGGCGATAACCGACCTGGCCTAGGCCAAGTGAAAGGTAGTGTAAGAAAATATCCCGAGATACAACAGCCAGGAAGTCTGTCCGCCCGTCCGTCCGTTCGCCAGTTTATTTGCTGCAGATTGGTTCGCCCGATCGACCGCCATTTGTGGCTCCGGTCCCATAAACTTGACAAGGCAGACTATAGGGCCGCACGTACACTTGAGCTAGTCTGCTTGACGCCCCTTGGTTCGTGTCGTGATGTTGTCTCATTTGCAGGTCCCCTGCCACACATTTGACAGATGCTTGTCGAGTAATATCTGGCTAGAGCGAGGGGGGCCTGTTGTCACTCGTAGTCCACAGGGTATGTGCGCTGGATAAGTCGTCACTTTCGCTCGTAGGCGGCGTGAAGGAATCAATCATTCCTCTAACTCGGGCTTTATTGCAATCAGTCGGGTTGGGGTTCTGAGGGAAATCAACAAACGGCCTTGTCCGGAAGGACTCACTCACATCACTCACCCAGCAACCTCGCGAATAGCTCAAACACTAAACAGATCTCAACTCGTCAATAATAGTTCATCTTGGACTCAACCAGATCATCTCTCACTGGCCGAGAACTTGTGTCAGAAAATCAAACTTGCGCATCTACATAGATTAGTCACCACAAATGTGATAGATATTGTTAAGATGAAAGATAGCACGGAGAAAATAGGTTTCCGAGGAGCTTGCAAAGTGTCAGAATGATTGATGATGATGATGCATCAAGGGTGGGTGGGAGAATTTCGGGGAAAGTTAAAAATACATATATTTTTCAATAAAAGGAAAGAAAATTAGGTTGTGGCGGCGGGAACAGGGCAGGGGCCCAAATTATCCCATACATATCCCTGTTGACCGTTGGAACATTTCGGCGTAGCTCCCTGACAATAACGGTGGATAACCCGATTTATTGGCTGGATTTTCGTTCGTCAATTCGTCCATCTATTCATCTTTTTCCAACAACCCTACATCCAACTAATCCAGAAGTGGCCTCCTTCTACTGCTAATGCTGCTGTCTGACATATGCCGCTTGACAGCGATAATCTGCATGAGTGCCCGTGGCCGGTCCGAATCCTAGCCAGTCTTCAGCTGGCTGTGCTTCATTATTCATTTGCATTCAATGCGCACAGTCAGCTCGTCTCGTCGACTTACTCACTATATAGGCCCTCGCTACCGGTGAGCGATTGTGTTGTGTGGGTGAGATGTGGCCCTTTGAACGCTTACACGCTTCTCCACACCACTTGGAAAACAGTTGCGCACGCGCTGTCTCCCTCAACCCACCAGACAGAGCCCGACCGGCTCTACATTACTTCCGTCGACTGTCTGTGTATTTGTTTTAATTGCATGTGCCATGAAGCTGTAGATCAGACACGGCTAGTTGCTGCCTCATTCAAAAGAGGGCAACCTGATGACTTAGTCTCTTTCCCTCAACTCACTCGTTCATCAGTCAATGCTTTCCTTTCCTCATAGGGCTGGTGGTTCTACAGCCGCTGCCCGCCTATCTGCGTCCAAGCGTCTCTTCTCGCCCGAGCCACATACCCACCGTGTGTTTCCTTGATCGCCCCACCATTATGTTCATCTCCCAGACCCGTCGCACCTCCATTCTCTCCATCTTCCATGTCCGCCCCGTCATTTAGCAACAGCTGGCTCAACTCGGGCTAGTACGCTTAGTGATTATCTAGTTTTTTTATTTCTCTGCTCAAAAGTAAGGTCATAGTTTGTTGACGGACGTTCGCGAAGTAAAATCATGCCGATTCTTTCAACTATCGCTTTAGAGTTGCCACAAAAGGATAAACTGTTGCTTAGTTCTCTTTACCTCTACCGAACAATTGATTCCGATAAAAGCCCAGTAATTAAGGGCATGACCGAGAGGATAACTCAACCAAGCCCCGCTGAAACTGTTACATGAAGTTATTGTCGCTCCAAATGAACACAAATTATTCCACCTTAACAGAAACAAGACGACTAAAAACGTGGACTAAATTCTCCAGCATCTTAAGCTGGCCCTGCAAAATTATATAGTCAGGCCTTGGCTGGCTAATCCTCATTGAAATCCACCATGTGGGGATCATATTAGTGGCTTCTCCAAGCTTCTATCAAACATCATATTAAAATTAGTTAAGTGAAAAACAGTAGAAAAGAAAAGTGTAGGTTTCACAAGGTAATGAGGCCATGGCCTTTTAATACCACTAATATCAAAGTCAAGTTAAGTATCCCAGGCAAAGTTAAGTCAAATTATGACGAAACTAAAATTACTACGAGCGTTTAAATTTTAGATCACCTAAAATCCGTCATTTCTATCGCAACTGATGAATTAAATCGAGCTGAGATACTAGCAGCGTTTGCGTGTATTCTTGATATCAATACGAGTATTATTGCAAAATGCATCAACCATAGGCCTAGTACTGGGGGAGGTTAAGCTACTCTGTGACACCAGAGAGGGTTTAGACTCGGCG